ATGCTAAAGACAAAGCATATGTGCTTTATTTATTAGAAATGAGAATCATAGAAATCAAAAAAATGATAATAATTAAACTCTTGTCAAACAGTTAGAGTAAAATATAATTCAAATAGTTAGGAAAAATAGTAATATAACATAACTGAAGGGCATAGTTGGGAAACGATAACAATTTTAGTAGATACATAAAAGACTTTCAAATTATCGATTAGTTGCACTTGTCCATTTGAAATGCACTTTGGTTGGGGATTTTTATCAAACACATGGTATGCATCCCGTGGCTCATGCCTACGACTTATGTTCCTATATCAACCAAATCATCCCACTCCAAAACCCTATCATTGTTGTTTCATCTTCACTTACATCATGGTCTTCATTCTTTAAATGATAAAAAAAATAGATTTTAGGGAATAACATACCTTATAAGCACCAACCTAGAATTCTTTACACAACATGTCTTCTAACAAAACAAAATTACATATGATTTTTGGTACCTTCTCTGAAGCTGCTATTGGATTAATGCTTTGAGTATTATACATGAAGTAGATGCAAGTTAAAAAAAAAATACAATGGTTTGATAGAACTAACCCTGGTATAATGAAAAACTCAAGAAATTGATGTCGATTACCTTTGTTGCAGATGAATTTGTAATCAATAATATGTCAGATTCAAATTTGGAAAAGATTAGGTTCCTGATTTCTGGCTAGTTACTTTCTGATTTTTGAAGATTGATTGTCGATTTTATGGATTGAGTTCAACTAAATTAGGTTGATTTTTGAATATTATAACCGAAATGATGATATTTAGGAACTAATGTGGATGGGCGATGAAAATCATTAGGCGGGAAAATGAGAAGGACATGTGGCATGCTTAAAAGATGACACGTGGCTGGTTTAGGAGTGTTTTATTAAGCATGGATATATATATATATATATATATATATATATATATATATATATATATTATACCAAGGACGGAACTTAAACATTCAATATGTCAAGTTGTTTTTGGTAGTCAAATCACCTCTAGAGCCCTAGACACACCCCATTCGATACAAACCTACTATTAACCTTCATGTGTATATTTTTTGTCAATACCCATGACTCTACTTTACATATCTTTTTACCCCATGTAAAACTTACCAAGCTATCCCCTCCAATTTGCCTTTTTCATACAAGGTAATGAAGAAAGATCAATAAATATGGTGGTCTTTTCTCATTTATACAACAACAAAAGATAAAATGGGAAATGACATCACAAGTGATTGAACTTTGCTCGAGATGGGAAAGCAAAGAATAAATAAAAAAGAAATAATGATCGATATATATTCGACAACAAGCAAGTGGAAGAATTGAGGAAACAATACTGAAGATATCTTCGTATCTTCTGAATGATCATATCAACAAATGTTTTGGTTCTATAAAAATGAGGTGAAAGACATACTAAATAGAAATATATCATCCACATTTTTATTTTTCTATACTGTGTGTTCTTATCGATTTTCATAAATTAAAAATACTTACTATAAGTAGAAGTTTTCATCAAAAAAAGTTATAAACAAAAGTTATATTTAATTTCTTTTTAAGTAATGGCGGGTTGGGAAGAGTATTTTCAATTCAATGATCAACTGAATTATGATGTATTTTTATACAACATTTTTTTTGGTAGGTTGTAATCTCTATTTTGTTGACGAATAATGTTTATACAAACACATATGAAGGTTGTGAAGAGTATTTTTCACTTCAACGATCAAATGAACTATCGGGTACTATTATGCAAGTGTTTTTTATTTTTTATTTTATTTTATTATAAGTTGTAACTTATAGTGTGTGTTTCATGTAGACGAATAATGTCCATACAAATGCATATGAAGGTTGTGAAGAGTATTTTTCACTTCAACAATCAAATGAACTATCGGGTACTATTATGTGAATGTTTTTATTTTTTATTTTATTTTATTATAAGTTGTAACTTATAGTGTGTGTTTCATGTAGACGAATAATGTCCATACAAATGCATATGAAGGTTGTGAAGAGTATTTTCAATTTAATGATCAAAGAAATTATGAAGTATTTTTATATAAGCGTTTTTATTTTTAAAATTGTTTTTATAAGTTGTAATTACTAATTTGTGTTTTGTGTAGACGAATAATAATGATACAAACGCATATGAAGGCAATGGAAATGAAAACGAGAAAGAAAGTAGTTACATCATCAATGACTCAAGTTTTCAAACCAACATGATAAAAATTTAAGTTCATTAATATATATTTGCAGTAAAAATGTTCTTTAGATTATTGTTATTTGTTGATTATGATATCATTTTTAGGTGTTCAACTCTCGTAAATACTTAATAGATTAGGTGCAACAAATAGGGCGTTCTCTTAGTTATGTTATGGTCAACATAAAAAATTCTAAACATTATTTTAATGTTTTATTTAAATGTGATCATGATGGTATATACACGAATATGAAAATCTCCACAAAACACATTGGCACAAAAAATTCAGAGGAGGAAGAGTGCAGGTAAGACTAAAATGCAAGTTCTGTTGTCATAGCTGAAAGATAATGGTTATATTTATGAGAGTCGTACAAATACATTAACGAACGAGCTGGAAGATTTGTTTTCTGCCTACCCACTTTCAGTTAAATTATGGCATGGATTTCCACACTTGGTGTTGATAGACACAACATATAAAACAAATAGGTATGATATGCCTCTACTAGAGATTGTTGGTGTAACTCCAACAAATATGACATTTGCAATAGCATTTGTTTATATGCATAAACGGAATGCAACTATACTTGGGCATTAAATTGTCTAAAATCGATTATGGACAAATGTTTGGCACCACGTGTTATTGTAACAAATAGGGAAATGGCTCTCATTAAAGGAGATAACATTGTGTTTTCGCAGGCTAAATGTTTACTTTGTAGATGACATATATATACAAGTATTATGAAGAAATGGAAACAAACTTTAAGTTTGAAGAAAATTTCTGATGCTTTTTACAAATTGTGGACTATATTGATTCAATCGGACACAAAGGAAGCATACAATATCAACTTGGCCTAGCTGGAAACATTGATGCTCGATTGTCCAGACATTTTTAATATATTTGAAAACATCAATGTTTTATATATCTTTACTAAAAAAGTAATTTGTATCTTTTTTCAGACGTCTTGAGATATTTAAATAAAATGTGTGGTTGAAACCATATAAGGAAATGTTTGTATCTATTTTGACTGATAAATTTCTGAACTTTGACAATCACACAACTAATAGAGTGGAAAATCAACATGCCAAATGAAAGCAAGATGTCATCGCATCACAATTCGATTTCATGAAATCTTTGCTGCGTATTCATGACATGGTTCAATCACAAGAAATAGGTACTAGTGCAAGTATTGAGGAAAGTAGAATTCATATTAAGCATTGGTTCGTCATGCAACATTTTGAGAAACTCAACACTTTTGTTTCAATTTAAGCACTTGATATAACTTTCAAAGAATATAAGCGCTCCAAAGATGTTGGGTTACTTGCTAAAAAGTGTGGTTTCCAAGTACGTACAACTTATGGATTGCCTTGTGTGCATGAACAAGCCATACTTCTTAATAAAGGTAATCTGATACCTCTTAATTCAATTGACAAGTTTTGGAGGAAGCTTGATTTTTTTTTCATGCACATCACTGGAAGATGATGAATTTGGTTGTGAAGTCAATGTAAACATGCACAAGGAACAATTCAAAACATCACCAGCTGGTAAGTTTAGTTATATACGACAACTAAAGAACATAATCGCGCCTTTAACAACATCGTTACGCGAACCTGTTGTTAACCAAAATACTCGTGGCCATCCTTCTTCAAAGAATAAGTTTTTTTAGAAAAAGTCATGTTGATCCACTTTCAAAACCTAACAAACAACGTATGTGTTATTGTTCACCCCTAAATTGAAAATGTCGACCGAGATATTCCCAAGTACCAACAACCAACAAGACATAGTACTCATGCATACAATAAACACCCTAAAATAAGTTATTAATCATGTTGTAAAATTTATAATTTTATTTTCTAATTAAATTATATAAGTGACATGCATACATTAAAAAAATATTTGTAAATTCAACAAGTGCATGACAAGTTTTGTTTGATGAAATTAGATAAGAATTTAAGAGTATCCACAATAGTGAGTTTAATGAGAGAGTTGAATGATATGATAAATCTAGATGTCATTTAATGGATGAAACTTTATCATTATGAGATGTCACATTAACATTCAATATATTTGAATTTCAATGGTCTTTTCAATAGAAAAAATTATTAAATATGTACTATAAATTACCTTTTGCAATATTCCATTGAACTTTATCCCATTCGGTCCAACTGGGATCGTGTTAATCACTTAAGTTATGTTTGACGTACTAGCTGAAAAGCTGACTAATAGCTGAAAAACTAGCTATTAAATAAAAAGCTAGATGATAACTAAAAAGTTAACTGATAAAAAATGATGTTTGGTAAAACTAATTGAAATATATAAAATTACATAAAAGGAGATTTAAGAGTATTTGTTTTAATAATTAATTAAGAGGTATATTTGTAAAATTTAAAAAAAAAAAAGCTCCTAAAAAGCTAGTCTGTGTAGTTTTTCAAAACGCTAGCTTATAAGCTACTTTTTGGCTTGTCAAACATGACAACATAAAAAACTCAAAAAATAAGCTAGTTTATCAGCTAGCTGTGGCGCGTCAAACACAACCTTAATCCCACCCGATTGTTTACATGGGTTTTGTACTCTTACATGGGTTTTGTACTCATGTTAACTTGTTTATCATTTCGTGTATTTTCACTTAATATTTATTTATTGTACGAAAGAAAAAACGGGTCCAATAAATTCATTAAATTGATGCAAGGATAATTCAAATGCTACTCTTAAGACGCAAGGTATTTTATTGACCAAGTCATATATATGTTTTATTTTATTTTAGAGAAATAAATAAGTAGTTCTAGTCTTTAGGGAGTAGAGATATCTTTTCCTGATTTATTGTACTTGTTAGCCTATATAATATAAGGCTCTCTATCTATCTTGGAATAATAAGCATTGAAAGAGTACCCTTACATTAGTCAGTTGTACATTCCTGCACTAGTGGATTGTACACCCAACTGCAAAGAGTAATACTTCCTCTGTATTTCTTACTTGTATCTACTAGCAGTTCGTATTTTTTTTTTCTTTTTGGAAATTTGGTTTTGTAATGGTGACAATGTCATTCACATTAAATGTCTCGAGCAAACGTGCCATTATACAAACATTCTTCATATACAAAATCCGCATCAAAATGGATGAGAAGCAAAAATTCCCATACGCAATTTGCAACTGTAGTTCCAATTACCTGCAATAATAATCAACTTAATGTCCACAAGATCTGCTCATCAAATTTCGTCAACTTTTTGTCATCAATACGTTTCCATGTCTTAATACTTCCAACTCCCATCCATTCACTCTTCCCCTTTTTCAATTCAGCCACTATAACCCTACCTCTTCTAGGCCACCCTGCCCTACCATAACCATGATACCCAAACCCACCACCATAACAAAACCATACACCATCTAAATTCCCACAAAAATCATTCAAATGATCATGGCCTATAAAAACCGCCTTCACATCTCCCATTGACACAAGTGTCTTCAATACTCCAGAGTTCACCATAGAACAGGCTACATGTTCATGATACTGCCCGAAAACTTCCCGGAACTGCCCGGAACGGATTTCAGGGATGGGGATATGGAAGAATGCTAGTGATGGAATTGGAAATGTTGAAACTTCTGATTCATACTTTTCTTGATTATGTTCCTGTTAGCGACACCTGCAACAAGTTAATCAAATCTAAATCTAACAGTGAAAATCTACCCGATCATGAGATTGTTATATTTGGGTTTTGTAATACCTTAGAAGCACCACGTAGCCAACTAAGTTGAGACTCTTTGATCCATCCATAAGTTTTAAAACCATCAACCACAGCTCGGTCTCCACTGTCTAAAAAGAAGAGATTGAGGATGGTTTGGTTGGCTAGGTGGGACCCGGGTGGACCCCGTACTCTCAGATCATAATTTCCAAACCCATCGATGTTTGTTGTAACTTGTTGTTTGGTGGGGTCCAATGGGTTTGGTTGTGAAAGGGAATAGTCCATGAGGGAGATGAATGACATTAATTCTTCACGAGTCATAGTTGACTCCTGATCATGGTTGCCCAAAACTGCTGCCCATGGAAGTCGGGCAGCCATGGCTGGACCAAAAGCTTTGAATAAAGATTCTGCTGCATCGTTTGTACTTGACCCGAATATGTTGTCCCCTAGTTTCCAAAACTACACAAAATCAGCTGAAGGTATCTGTGTATATAACTATATATAATAGGAATAAAAGAAAGCTAAATTTAGTTATATACAATACAACACTCTCTGAAGTCTGATCAACATTTATTTTGGTAATTGGCATTTGGGGAAAAGCTAAATTTAGCCGTATAAATTCAATCCCTTTTTTTGTGTTTGCATCAGACTGTGCGCTAAATTACACATGAAAAATGACATATATTTTAAGTAAAATATTTCTATATTTGTCAACTATCTGAGCTATGAATCTTGTAGACTGCGTCAATAGCATCAATTATGATTCATGATACTAGGAAAAACAAGTAAATTAAACTCGATCTTTTCAAACAATAAAGTGTTATAATTTCATAACTGCATTTGAATGTGAACAATAAGCAGAAACCATTTGTGATGATCTTAAAATTAAGATTCACTATAACAAACCAGATTATGTTACCGGATTTCTACTCATTACAAGGGCTTTCTAAAGTCAACGTGTAGATTCTTTCTCATGGAAAAAGGTGTAAAAACTATAGCAAATTTCTTCAGTTATGCAGAGTTTATCCTATCTGAGATCATAAGTTCACTAACTCACGAGATTAACAGTCTATTTTGCATTGATAAACGATGTAATTTTAATTCTTCCAAATTAAAACCTCATAAGAAAATGATGAAAACATAATCTCGAAAACGAAATCCACCTGTAAAAGCAATAAAATCAGGCTTCTCGGCATCAATCATCCGCTTTAGAAATAAAGTAGTGTTAAGATCAGAGCACCATTCAAACTCGGAGGTCAAAACATCTCTACACCGAGTCAATCCAGTTCCATAATGCATATCAGCAACCTAATCAACACATACAGCCAATTCATTTCATTCCTTAACAGACCTTTAAAACTCTGACTTGAATTTGAAAGTTAACCTGAAGGATCTTAAAAGTGCCGTCGGAATTGAACCTTAGAGGGAGATTAGGATGTTTCTTGAGAGTAACTTTGTGATGCGACACCATTAATCTATCCGATAGAATATAAAACTGAAGAAAATATAGTGAAACTGTGATGAGAGCAAGGTAGAACAAGGCTTGAATCCATGTTTGGCTCGATTGCATCGTTTGTGTGCGTGTCTGGAAAAGTCAGAGTGGGAGAGTGTTCATGGGACTTTTGCTTTGTCAGAAGGGGGAAAATAGAATTAGCATTTTTGGTCAATCAAATTAAGGAAACTTCATCTAAGTCCTCTGACTAATGAACAAGACAAAATGAGTCCCTTAAAGCTAGGATTCATTTAATTTCAATTAGTCATATACTCGTACACATGGAAAGATCGCTTATATATAATAATATAAACAATATATTTTGATTAATTAAACAAACAAAGACGAACAATAGTTATTTGCCTTCATTTATATGTGTTCATTAACGATTATTATGAATATTCGTTTATTTTCGTTCAGTTATGTTCAATTATTATATTGTATTTTAGCATTTGAAGATAATGTTTGGACAATGCAGATAACACTTAAACTTTATTTTTTAGAGTATTTATGCATTTTTGAACGTTTTGTATTGTAGGATTTTATGTATAATCATATTTTTATTTACATACAGTGCTGGATATGGATGCTTATATACATACATGTTCATTATGTGTGTTTGGTTATCATCAAAGTCAACAAACACCGACAAGAAGAATATTAGATCGTTTATGTATTTACATTCATCTGTTTGATTAAACTTAACAAACGAACATAAATAAGCTATTGTTCATGTTTGGTCAAATCATTTGACCTTACTGGGAACAAAACTAACAAAGGTTTAGAAAAACGATAACATTAATGTTTTATTACAATATCATGCTTATTGAATAGCATGTTCATAAACACGGACAAGAACAACATGTATTTATTTTAAGTATCATGTTCATATGCATATAACTTGCTTGAAATACTACATACGTCAATGCGTTGCCTTCATTAATGATTTGGCGAATGAGTTTTGACAATGGGGGTGATTCATTTACTTTTCAAATTAGTTCAAGTCATGATCATGCATATCCATTCATTGGGTATAATTGGAGACTTGTGAGATTCAAACAGTTCATGAAATGATTTTGCAAATTAGTTTTTATAACTTTTGAGGTTTTGTTTTCTGAAAATAATTGTTTTTTTTTTTGTAACTTTACGGTCAAAGGTTTTAATTTGATAATAGGTGTTTTTTTTTATTACTTTCTAATCAAGATTTTAATCTTACAAATTAAGATTATATAATACCCTTTGTTGTGAAAATATAATAAGATGACAATAATATAATACTATCAAATAAATAGATTATAGTAAAATAATAATAAGAATAATACTCTTTGCATTTTTTTTTATTAATAAACATGGTTACATTGTTAATAAGTCTAAAATATAAGGAATTTGAAGATTACCGTCTAAAATTAAAGATTATCGATTAAAATCTCAAATGTGTATTATTGATTAAAATCTCAAATGTGTAATTTTGTCATTTACTTTAAACAATTGTTGGTTTTGTTATATTTTGGTAAAAGAAAAAGTCATGAATTTATCTTGAATAAGCTTTTAAAGATTTTTTGAATATAAGTTTCAGTGTAAAGTCTACGTTACATTAAAAATAAGAAAAAAAATTGTTTATAGCCTTATAATCTTTCATAATTATGTCTATATCCTTGTAAAACTTCAAATTACACACACACACACACACACACACACACACATATATATATATATATATATATATATATATATATATATATATATATATATATATATATATATATATATAACCTATAAACTCACATATATACCCAAATATTTAATTTAATCATATTTAATACATTTAAAAAAATTTAAAAACAATATCTTTGAATAAATAATTACTAAATTACTAAAATACCCACTTTGAATCTCTTCCGTAAACAATCTCTCTATTCACGATATGATTCTTTATCACTTCATATGCTACATAATAGATTAGCAAATCCAGTGATTCCATATTACTACTTGTTTGGTAAACAATATATTTCTACAATTGGCTTATGAGACCTGCAATAATTCTTTTCTAAATGATTTTGTTCTTCCTTAAGTTCTTCAATTACAAGTAAAATTACGGAAAAACTAATTTCAATGCGGATGTCAATATTGTTAAAGTACAACACCTATCACGTGTTAGTGGTTAGGTCTCTTTTTATCCTTATGTCAGATGTTAGTGGGACAATTTTCTGTTTGCGGTTTCGTTTATATGTAAGCCTTAAGGGTTCCTAGTTTCCATATTCATGTAATTTGCTTTTTTAAGAATATATAAAACACACAACCTTTGTGTAAGATGCTTTTGTGTTATTGTTCTCTACAAATACTTCATTTAGGTAAACAAATATTTTGTAAGGATTTATAAAGTAAATATGTCGAGAATAGCAACCTGTGAGAAATGTAATATTGTAATGTTAAAAGTTAATTATTTTCTTAATAACAAAAAATCAGTATAAAGATAAAGTTTTTATTTTTTTAATATATCAAAAATGATTAAATTGTGTATATATATATATATATATATATATATATATATATATATATATATATATATATATATATATATATATATATATAGAGAGAGAGAGAGAGAGAGAGAGAGATTTCATAATGATATATATGTAATTTGAAGTTGTATATGATATAGATATAATTATAAAAGTTTACAAAGATAAATGAAACTATTCCTAAAAAATAAAGTGATCACTCAAAAAAGTATTTCATTTGTTAACCTGAGAACTAATACAGCAAATTGCTCAAAACCTAACAATCAAGTAAGTCAATATCTTTTATTTAAACCCTTATGTTTAGAATTCGTTTACTAAAAAAACTATAAAAAGTTATTTGGCGACAAAATGAGTAATTTTATCCAAAATCCAAACTTACCAAAGAAAACCAACAATTTGTCTTCGATTTACCTCCCCACATTTGAAATAGACATTCTCCCCAACGTTCGATACTAAACATATATACTGGAAAATAAAATCAAAAATAACGGCAGTAACTCCCCTAACAAAGAAATAAACAGACAATAACTCTCCTAAATATATTATTCAAGATTAGAGTTTCCAAAACAACTAATGCTAAAATACTAGTGAGTGCACGTCCTGCCATCAAGCTGTGCCCTTGCCCTTAAAACCACAAGTACTTGAAACACCCAACAAAATTGTAAGCACATGCTTAGTGAGTTCCCCAAAATACACAAATCACATAATCATATAATGTCATGCACATATACACATAAAAATGCCATGGACTCCCTCTATGGTCTTCAATCGGGATGCCATGGGCTACCCCATGGTCTTATACCTAAGTGTCATGGACTCCCCCTCATAGTCTTACTAGGTAACATGTGCTCCCCCCCATAGTCTTCACATAAATCAATACACACCAAATAATAGACCATTGCATAATCATTTAAAAAGATTCACATCAAGTAATGGGCCAACATTGGTGCCTTCGACCCATGGGTATAGTGAAGAGACTCACCTCAAAGATAGCAAAATCCTACGAATACTGCAGCTGCTGCGAATTGGCTCCAAACACAAAGCCAAACCAAAAGCTAAACTCAGTACATAACTATGGCTAGATTCGAACACTAGGCCCACAATGGCCCAACTAACCAGGCCCACTAATGGTCCAAGCCCATTAGGCCCACTAAGGCCTAAATCCATTGGGCCCACTAAGGCCCAAAATACAATCCTAGGCCCAAAAGAGAAAGACCAAACAAGAAGTCCAATACTACAATGGAAACCTTCAGTCCAAACAAAGCCCAACGAACAGCACCTAAACCTATCCCAAAACTCAAGAGTCCAAAAGATGGCCCAAGGAAAAAGCCCACTGATGGACCGAACACTAGGCGTTCCCTTGTGGAACATTGGGCGTTCGTCACCAGCTAACAGATCACAAAAATTATTACTAAGCACTTGATGCTTCAAGCCACATGACCAAAACATAGATCCAAGTCCTAAATAACATCTAGAACCATAAATGAAACATCCTAAAAATCAGGTCCAAAATTTTCATTTAAAATCATTAATAAAACCATAGTTATCCAAAACACATGTCATAGTATGTCAATCAACATATCAATGTATATCAAAATGTTAGAGTCTAAAACATCCCAGGCTGAACTATGGTGTGTGCAATGATATCATCTCGAGCTCTTCCCTCCACTACCGGAAGTACCTGAAACCAAAATTGAAAATCGTAAGCACGAAGCTTAGTGAGTTCCCCAATCTACCACATACCATACACATAACCACATACTGGCCCCCTGCCCGCTACATCGGGACTTGCCCGGCATCAGGCCCCGCCTGGCATCGAGCCCCGCTCGATATACATATATGTCTCTCTTAGGCCTCAACTGTCTTTGGGCCCCGCCCGCTATACACATACAATCACATAAACATACTAGCACATAAAGCAAACATACTCTACTGTATCCTTGTTCTAAGGCATCGCCTAACATGGGCCCCGCCCCTATCCTGCTATTGATGAGTCATGGAACCTATACGCCCCTGCTCTGCTAATAATAATGAAACCCCGTCCATACTCAGCTAGTGGTGAGATATGGGACCTTACCCACACTCACCTCCCTACCAGGCACATACAAGTATCACACAGACAACAAGTATAATATGTCATGCAAACATTCATTTGGCTTGCCCCGGCATCGGACCTTAGTCCGGAATAATATACATATAAACCTTCCTCACGCACCGCCCGACATTAGACCTTGGTCTGGCATAAGATATTAACATACAATGCCTAGGGCTAGCCCCGGGTCTTCCTACTCTGCATAAAGTAAATGGGCAAGAATTGTGGTCTTAGAACCATACACACACAGTGAGGAGACTCACCTTTCACTGTTGAAGCCCTGCTAATACTCTTCTGGCTACTAACTGGCAATTCCCCGAACTGCTGCTCCTCTGGCTCCCTGAGCTACCAATACCAAAATAACACTCAGTCCCAAATATCCTTAACAGTCTAACTGGTTCAACCTTGGTCAAAGTCCAATTCAACGGTCAAAGTCAACGCTCCGAGTTGACTCAACTCATCGATTTGCTCCTTCAACTCGCCGAGTTCTATGTTACTCAGACTCATGATAAATCGAGTCAACTCGTCGAGTCATCCTCAGAATCGACGAGTCCTTCCAAGTCCAGAATCGGGACAATGCCACTCA